CGCCCATCACTTATCTTGGTAAACTATTGGTAATCCAGTTATGGCTCACCTGCCCATACACTCCGCTAAAGAGTTGGCTGTCAGCGACCCAGCAGCTGACCCTAGTCCAACTAAAGCCACCAACAGGCCAAATAAAGTGTCGACCTTGTCCTGGTCCATCCACGTCCCGTCGCGTTCATTTTGAGTTTGATTCATGAACTCTTTGATGAGCTGTGCATGATGGGAGATGGTTTGTATACACAACTTGCTCACGTCTGCTCGGTCTGATTAGTGAATACTAAAGAAGTAAATCTGACTTTTTTTGTACAACAGTTAGCAAACCATCCCACCAAAGAAAGGATTAAGTTGGAAAAATAATTTACAATTTCTTTATTTTGAATTTAGCATAGAAAGTTTCTGCAGAAAATATTTTCAAAATTTTAAAAAATAAAATATATTTAACTTTCGTCTACATTCCCTTCGAATCCTTTGGCTACATAGAGTGCTCACCTACACTTCTGTATAGTCTTCCTTTGCTTTCATAGAGTGCTCATCTACACTTCTGTACTGTCTTTCTTTAGCTACATAGAGTGCTCATCTACACTTCTGTACTGTCTTTCTTTGGCTACATAGAGTGTTCATCTACACTTCTGCACAGTCTTTCATAGGCTACATAGAGTGCTCATCTACACTTCTGTACTGTCTTTCTTTAGCTACATAGAGTGCTCATCTACACTTCTGTACTGTCTTTCTTTGGCTACATAGAGTGCTCATCTACACTTCTGTACTGTCTTTCTTTGGCTACATAGAGTGCTCATCTACACTTCTGTACTGTCTTTCTTTAGCTACATAGAGTGCTCATCTTCACTTCTGTACTGTCTTTCTTTGGCTACATAGAGTACTCATCTACACTTCTGCACTGTCTTCCTTTGCGTAAATCATTTTAAGAAATTATACATTATTTCCTACATTTTGGTACTTTAAAACTCTTCTTTGGTAGAAAGTAATTCTTAAAAACGTTTCTTTTAAATTATTTTAAAAAAATGTGTTTCAGTGGTTTGTTTCGGTTTATAAACTCCTTATCCTATTAATAGTTGATAGTTTTCTTGCATTAGGGCAAAATAGCTACAGAGAGGGAGAGAGAGAGAGGGAGAGAGTAGTGGGTTTACACATTGGCCGACATTACAAAAAAAAAAAAGTAGTTGGTTTACAACCCTGCTTAGGTAATGAATTGATTGCTTACCTCAGTGGGCGCATTTAGTGAAGATATCGTATAGGCTATCCCTGGAATGGTCAGATAAGCGCTAAATATTATCAGGATGTACTTGAAAGTCCATCCATTCTGTCAAAGAAGAGTTCACAGTTAACATCATATTTAAAGTCTGGGTTCAAATCTCAACTCACTTCTTAAATTGAAACATTTCCAAAGTAATTTTCTTAATTTTAATGTATGAATTAGTATCATACAATTTATTTTAAAATTTAGTTCTCAGTCTCAGTACTTGGAGCTTTCATTGGATATTTTTTTCTATAGTGTTTCTCATCAACGTCACGTTGGAGATGGCGTCGGTGGGTCGTCAAGCGCAAGCTCTTAATACCCCCAGCACCCCCCACACCCGCCCCCAGACCATGCGGAAGCACGCCGGGGACCTCACCCCTGGCCTGGGGGACGTCCGGTCGACTGAAAACGCTGCGTTTAAAGCGTTCGGGGTCCAATTTCCTTGGGTCTGAACGGCTCTACTTCCTCTCCGGGGCAAAGGTGTTGCGTTACCTCCCCCCACCGTCCAGGGAGTTGTCCGGTCGGGACGTAAGCGGGGACGAAATGGTCGCCTAGTAGTGGCTTTCTCAGGGCCACGTAGCTAAAAACATCGGCAAGGGTTTTGACCGCCACCCAGGCCTCATATCCACTAACGGCAACAAGTAATCATGTTATTGCGTTCCTCCCGTTGTGTTGGGAGTCATGCAAGTGGCCGGGGTTTTCTAGCGTCGGGAGGAAAACCTACCAACTAGTCTGCCACGCCACCAAGAGGCAAAACCCCATGTGGACGCCCTGAAGTTTCCCCGGAGACGCTCCGCTTCCGCGGACAGGTTTCTCACAACATACAATTCTTATTTATATCGAGATATTAAAAAAACCCATCTTACTGTAGGAGTTGAGTCATCTTCCAAGTGAATGTCTTTGTCCTGTTGATGTTCCTCTGATTTCACATCCATGTGTTAGGCTTCGAATGAGTAGCTTCTGTTAGAACTGGGGAGGGGGGGGGGGGGGGGGGGGTGGGGGGGGGGTGTGTGGGGGGGGGTGTGGGGGGGGGTAACGGACTGATGACTCCTTGTGGTTTTATAAACTGTTAATTCAGTAGTCACAATAAATACTATTTTGCATATACATATACATATTATTTTATTTTATTTTAAAAATTAATTTATTTATTTATATAAATCAACTTTCATATATTGGAAATGGTACCAATGCAATTCATCGAGTGAACTATGAACTTTTCTCCATCATCTATTTTAGGAAACACAGATGAATCATGCACACCGGACGTCAAACCATTAATACCTTGAAACACAATTGCCGTATAACACTAATCAAATGGTTTTATTCAGTCAAGTATTAAGATCCAAATACTGCTGTGCGCCAATCATTCCAGGGAGACAACTACTGAAGCGGCTGCCTCAAGCACCGAAAAGATATTTAAGTACATGCATGACAGATTGAAAATAATACCGTCGTGCGTAATCCAAGTGTAACAATACAGTTACCTGTAGTCTTTGTGCTGCGCATTGATATAATTACGTTAGCCCTGGACGACTTAATGCCCAGCCCCACCACTGATGTTTTAAATTCAGTGTAGGCCTAATTGATTTATAATAAAAAGGTGGAATTTTTTAATCTTTATATAAAATATACAATACATATTATATATATATATATATATATATATATATATATATATATATATATATATATATATACAGCCTCTGAAAAAACTTTGTAACATATCCCAGCTGGTAGATATATACCCAGCAACTGATAACTGATGTGAGTGCAGTGTCTCTCAATATATATATATATATATATATATATATATATATATATATATATATACAGCTTCTGAAAAAACTTTGTAGCATATCCCAGCTGGTAGGTAGGTACCCAGCAACTGATAACTGATGTAAGTGCAGTGGTTCTCGGGCTGCTCCCTAGTAGGGCACCCTGTAAAAAATAATTAGTCCCTCGCATCTTTTCTTATACAATACATAGGAGAGCAGTGCCCTGGACGGTAGGGTAGCCTCTGTAAATCTTTGAAATGATCTGATGAGGGCAGTTGTTGCATTATCATTGTATTGTATTGTCACAACCACTTCCCTTTTGTTATCATTCCGTGTTTATTTTACTTGTACTCGATATCAGAAGCCATGCTGCTTTGTGGTACTCAGACATCAGAGGCCATGTTGTATTGTTGTACTCAGATATCAGAAGCCATGCTGCTTTGTGGTACTCGGACATCAGAGGCCATGTTGTATTGTTGCACTCACACATCAGAAGCCATGTTCTTTTTTGTACTCAGATATCAGAAGTCATGTTGTTTTGTTTGTAACTTGCCATTAAAAATCTAGACACGAATTTGTACATATGTGTTAGCTTTCTTTGTGTTAGATATAGTGCAGATATGTTAGCTTTCCTTGTGTTAACCATAGTGCAGATGTTTTAGAGTTAGTGCAGATGTGTTAGAGTTAATGTAGATATGTTAGCTATAATGCAGACAATGTTACCTCTAAGGTTTGTTGGTTCATGTGCAAAATCATACTGTTGTGTGTAAAGTTTTACAGCATAAACAGCACAAACACAAACATGAAAATTTGCTGCGCGGATACTCAAAATTGCTGCGCGGCGTCTTTGAGATAGCTACGCGGCCGCGCAGCCGCGCAGCTTAAAGGGAACATTGAGTGCAGATATGTTAGCTTTCTTTGTGTTAGATGTATTAGTAATAAATATAATAGCAGTTTACTTGATAGAGTGTCGAAAAGTTATTTAAAAAAAATTAAAGCCAACTTCCTCTGTTGCACTCTCTTATCACAGGAGGACATTCCCATTCCAGTGCGCTCTTTGAGTCTAGTGGGACCCGGGTTTGAATGGCGGCGCTGCGTGACCGGGTCCATTTTGACATAATGCTATGCGGATGTCATTTTTGGTAGTTTATTTTAGTTAAACTGAAGAATTAAGTTTACAGACATATAGTCCATTCACTTATCTTTCATTTGATACCTCATTTTGTCTTACAAACCCAGCAGTCATATTTTAAATAGTTTTTTTAATCTAGTTTTGTAATAACAACCTCTCACTTGTGACACCCGGGTGCGAATAGTCGTAGCCTTCATGTAAGGTGTTAACTGCAGCTGTCCAGGTGTGTGGAGAGACACGATTTGCCTTCCTGGGAACCAGCTGAAACTCCTAAACAATTAGAACTGAGAGATAGCAGAGAGAATTAGAAATTGGAGTTAGTCGAGAGAATTAGAACTGTGTGATAGTAAAGGGAATTAGAAATCAGAGATGGTAGAGAGAATTAGAAAGGAGAGATAGTAGAGAGAATTGTAAATTAGAGATAGTAGAGAGAATTAGAACTGAAAGATAGTAGAGATAATTAGAACTTAGAGATAGTAGAGAATAAGAACTGATAGATGTAGAGAGAATTAGAACTTAGAGATTGCAGAGAGAATTAGAAATGAGAGATAGTAGAGAGAATTAGAACTTAGAGATTGTAGAGAGAATTACAACTTATAGATTATATAGAGAATTAGAAATGTGATATAGTACAGAAATTAAAAGTGAGAGATAGTAGAGAGAATTAAAACTGAGACAAATTAGAGAAATTAAAACTGGAAGATAGTTGAGATATTTAGAATTGAGAGATAGTTGAGAGAATCGAACAGAGAAAGCAAGAGAGACTTAAAAATCGACAACACAATAATTTCTACAACAAATTGACCAACTATGAAAATAAACAGTCTTGAAAATCTTTCTAAAACTTTTTATTCTCTTCATGTGTTTCGTCAGCGCTAAAAACTGTCGAGTCCGTCCCTTTGACTATGATCTCTTGGTTGTAGCTCGTGCTCAGTGTTAACGGGTTGTCGAACGATTCCATGGGCGCCCAGGACTTGGCGATCTCCGCAAAAGTTTTATTCTTGGTCTCAGGGACGTAGAAATACACAAATATCGCCATCAGTAAGTCTATGCCACAGAAGACGAAGAAGGTGTAGGAATCTAGCTTGGACTGGATTAGCGGAAAGGAAAGAAAAGATTTCAGTTTGATGTAATGATGAGCCTTAGAATTTTTTTTCCAGATCTTTATTGCCAGACTGACATCCACACATATCCATAGATCCTAAGTGGCAGACTGACATCCATACAAATCCACGGATCCTAAGTGGCATACTGACATACACACTTTCTTTACTCTTAATACCTACCATTCATCTCACTACCATTCATCTCACTACCATTCATCTCACTACCATTCATCTCACTACCATTCATCTCACTACCATTCATCTCACTACCATTCATCTCACTACCATTCATCTCACTACCATTCATCTCACTACCATTCATCTCACTACCATTCATCTCACTACCATTCATCTCACTACCATTCATCTCACTACCATTCATCTCACTACCATTCATCTCACTACCATTCATCTCATCTCATTAAAATTCATCTCATCTCATTAAAATTCATCTCATCTCACTACCATTCATCTCATCTCACTAGCATTCATCTCACTACCATTCACCTCACTACCATTCATCTCATCTCACTACCATTCATCTCATCTCACTACCATTCATCTCATCTCACTACCATTGAACTCACAACCATTCATCTCATTATTATTTATTTGTTCTTACCAATAGCAGCGGGAAAATATAACAGTGAGAGAAGAAACCAAGCATGGCACACAAGATGGCGATACTGAACCCAGTTCCCCGGGCACTGTGGGGGAACAACTCACTCAGCATGACCCAGAACACACAAACTGGAGACACAAAGATAATTGTCAGTTTACATTAAAGATGCTGCCATTTTAAAAAATTGCACATACTACCCATGTTAACCTTATAGATGTATCTGAACAATATAAAGGTTTACAATAGAGTTCTTCATATGATAGCGCAGGCCGTGTAGGTTCATGTGGTTTACTGGTGTGGGGAGGAGGTGGGCGAATTGAAGATACCTCCCCGATGGTACAGAGTACAGATCTTGCTAAAAGATCTAACACAGATCTTGTCAAAGGATAAAGTACAGATCTGCCAATGGACCTAGTATAGATCTTGCCAAAGGATCTAGTACAAATCTTGCCGATAGATCTGAGGTATGGAATGGATAGTTTTCATAAAGATATTCTTTCGGAAGTAGGGTTCCTGGACAGCAGTTTTGTCCCAGGCACCAGCACTCTTTTGTTGGTGGCTACGATGAGTGAATAGCATACCATGAAGGATATGTGTAGCAATGAGTGATATGTGTAGCAATGAGTGATGTGTGTAGCAATGAGTGATATGTGTAGCAGTGAGTAATATGTGTAGCAGTGAGTGATATGTGTAGCAGTGGGTGATATGTGTAGCAATGAGTGATATGTGTAGCAGTGAGCGATGTGTGTAGCAATGAGTGATATGTGTAGCAGTGAGTGATATATGTAGCAATGAGTGATATGTGTAGCAATGAGTGATATGTGTAGCAGTGAGTGATATGTGTAGCAATTAGTGATATGTGTAGCAATGAGTGATATGTGTAGCAGTGAGTGATATGTGTAGCAGTTAGTGATGTGTGTAGCAGTGAGTGATGTGTGTAGCAATGAGTGATATGTGTAGCAGTGAGTGATGTGTGTAGCAATGAGTGATATGTGTAGCAGTGAGTGATATTTGTAGCAGTGAGTGATATGTGTCGCAGTGAGTGATGTGTGTAGCAGTGAGTGATATGTGTAGCAGTGAGTGATATGTGTAGCAGTGAGTGATATGTGTAGCAGTGACAGATATGTGTAGCAGTGAGTGATATGTGTAGCAATGAGTGATATGTGTAGCAATGAGTGATATGTGTAGCAGTGAGTGATATGTGTAGCAGTGAGTGATATGTGTAGCAGTGAGTGATATGTGTAGCAATGAGTGATATGTGTAGCAGTGAGTGATATGTGTAGCAGTGAGTGATATGTGTAGCAGTGAGTGATATGTGTAGCAGTGAGTGATATTAGTAGCAGTGAGTGATATGTGCAGCAATGAGTGATTATGATCACCACGAGGGTTAGGGCCTTGTCAGATATTGTTTCTTATAACGTGAATGAACCAATGACTCACTCGGCCCCAGGGAGTAGAAGGCGATGATCATGAGCGACACGACGATGTTGACATACTTCAGTGCCTCCACCTGCTCCTGTTGACGCAATGAAACATTGTTGGTCAAATCAGCGATGTAGCCAAAGTGTAGCATTTCTAAACAAATACATATAACTTATTTAATGTATAAGTTCCAATGTTCACTGAAAAGATTATCCATCTCCTGGCCTGATGGGATTCTTTATCTTGAACCATATTCTGACCTGAGATAGATTGTGTTACGTACCCTTGTATGGTTTTTTGTAAATATAATTTGCTTTATGATTTGGCTCGTTTTTTTTTTTAACAATACGTATGAAAGGACTGAAAATCAGTATACAAAGAAAAACTATACCAAAGCTGATGATACTAACAATATTTCATTTAATTATACTATTTGAGTTGTATAAAGAATACAAAATTAAATAGAAATAAAAACCATATTAACAGCACAGCAAGTGAAAGAGTACAATCCTCGAAAGCTACAAATATTAATTTACACACACGCATAAAGAATACAATCTTGTTTGTATATTTCGTCTCGTAAATGTGTGCTTATTTATGGGGAGTTATTTGGAACCCTCCAGAAATGAAACTCTAGACATTGCGTAACGTGATAGCATTCTTTAGAGCAAATTAGAACGTATTCGAACGTAAACAACCTTTTCCCAATCAAGGGAGAGTGGGGAAATGCTACACCTTTAATCGGTGACTTCAAAAAAACAAAACAAAAAAGGGGAGGGGAGGTAAGGTTGAATCCCACCGCATGTGGTGAATAAAAAGTAGGTCAACATACACTCTATGACAATTGTATGTTAGTTGACCTGAGATAGACTTTATGTTTGTTTACCATGATACAGACTAATTCTTGTGTGTTTCTTACCACATATAGACTGTAATGTCAGTTGACTATGAGACAGACCGATTTGGTTGACCTTACTTTAACTTTCGAACCAATGAACGAGCGATATCTTTGGTCCACATGGACTCCCGCATCCCTGTTAAGTTAGTTAACTGCCAGGTGAGCAATGCGCATGCGCACTTACACTGGCGTCACTGACACGCACACCCATGTTTATAGAAATGATTGTGTCTAATATTATGCAGAGACAGCGAACTTAAAATTCTGCCCTGTAAAAATAGACTGGGTCCAGTTCCCCGGTAAGACCAACCGGCTTAAGCAATTTATGTTCTGTTTAAAATAGATATGACATGAAATACAAACGTAGAATGACGTACTTGAAACACCATCGTCAGTGCGACCGTGCCGGAGCACACGGCCATTCCGACGACTCCGAACTGAAACAGAGTCTTGCGCCCAAATCTGGACAACAGGAGGACCGCGATCAGATTGAAGACGAAGAAAGTAGTTCCGGTACCGGAAGTAGCGTACCTAGCGTTTCTTTCGCTGAGGCCAGTCGATTTGAAGAGTTGTGTTGAGAAAAAAAGGATCTGTTGAAGGTTCAAAGAAGGTTCAAAGAAGAAAAATTACAAGTCGTAGTTGTTGTTTTTTAATTTAAATGATGAAAAAAATATCCGGGGGAAAAAAAAAGGGGGGGGGCGAGATTATAAAAAAAATAATTTTTAACGTAATTGATAAAAACTATTTTTCATTGTGTATGTAATCAAAGTGAATGATTAAAAACGAGTAACGTTTGTCTTTAAGGCTAGGGTTGCAGAGGCGTAGCGAGTTGGGGCAGGGGGGCAGATGTCCCCAGGGGCAAGCTAGTTAGGGGCGCCAAAATGTGCTTTGATATTATGTTATTTGTAAAAATTATGGGTTTGAGAGTTGAAAAAAAAGATGGATTTTGTCCCCGGGTGCGAATCTTGTTCCCGGGCGCCAAACACCCTCGCTACGCCTCTGTAGGGTTGGTTAATAAGACAAGACATTGTGAATATATTTATTTAAATTAATTATGTAATTTGAATTTACAACTACATCATAACTAAAAAAAGAACAATTTAATAAGAATGCGGCTAAATTTGCATGCAGAGGCGTCACAAGGGTTGGTGTCCCCCCTGGCAGTAAACTCATGCTGTCAACCCCCCCCCCCCCCCCCCCCCCCGCCAACTGGGCCCGCACCAAGTAATTATGAACAAGATCATGCAGAATCGCTTCTAGTATTGTTATTTAATTTACTCCGAGAGCACCAAATGACGTGGGAAGAAAACATGGAATTTTAGGACACAGGGTTTACAAAATAAAACAAAAGTACGTTTTATTGAAACATTAAACTTTACAGTGATATGTTAATGTGTGCAAACAGGCAAACAAGACACCAGGGTTCTTAAGGCAAAATCTAAAGATCGGCAACTCCAGTGTATAAGCCTTTGTCCGCTGCTTTTAGATTACGCTTCTTCAGTCTGGGACCCATTTACCCAGAAGAGCATCGACAGGTTGGGGGTTCTGTTCTTCAAAGATGAAAATGTATCAATCACTTCATCAAAATCAACATTCTTCACCTCATCACTTTCAATTTTTAAAATCACTAGAACATAAAGCTTGGACTGTTCCATGGTAGATCGTAGATGTTCCTTTATAGGTTTTAAAATATGTGTTGCTTTCATGTCCCTTCTCAGCCTTAATATTTCGATTGAAAGTTAACTGTCAGATAATTGATCATAGAAAATGTTCAGTTAGGGAAAGGACACCTGTAGCTTTTCTTCCGTTGCCAATAGTAGACTCGTTGCTTGAATGACCTCAAAAATAGCTGCTACTTTCTTGATATTGTAAGGAAACCTTGCTTGCTCTCTGCTAACCTTCATCTATATCTGGTATTCACTAAGGAACCAACTCAGGCGATAACATTTAATGATTAAAATCGTGTTCTTTATTAGGCTGACACTTCGCTTATACTTTCTCTCATCTCGCAACTCTGACTGCCCTCTTCTTCTAACGTCGGAGCTCTCTCTGCTATGTCCGCTTCTTTGTCCGTCCGCTGTTCTCCTAGTCCTGTCCAGAGGTCCCTATTAATAAGTCCCTGGTCCATAGAGTTCCTTCCCAGGTCTGTAATCTGACGCGCCCGCCCCTTGATCCGTCGGCGCCTCCCAGTACCAACCAGTCGTCCCAGGGAAATACCCTGGTCAGATGGCCGGTAACCCTGCTGCGAGATCTGACGCGCCCGGCTCTTTGATCAGTCGGTCGTGATCCGAACTCTCCACAATATCTCTTGATCTTCCGTAAAGCATCGCCATCTTTTTTCTTCGCACAATTCGCTAAACACGTTGTTCTGTACCTCGTATGTCCAAGACTTTGTGCTTTACCTCGTGTTCCTAAGACTTTGTGCTGTAACTCGTGTGTCTAAGACTTTGTGCCGTTCCTTATGTTCCTAAGACTTTTTGCTGTACCTCTTGTGTCTAAGACTTTGTGCTTTACCTCGTGTGTCCAAGTCGTTGTGCTGCACCTCGTGTGTCCAAGAATTTGTGTTGTACCTTGTGTGTCCAAGACTTTGTGATGCACCTCGTGTGTCCAAGACTTTGTGATTTACCTCATGTTCCTAAGACTTTTTGCTGTACCTCGTGTGTCTAAGACTTTGTGCTTTACCTCGGGTGTCTAAGACTTTGTGCTGTACCCCATGTGTCCAAGACCTTGTACTGAACCTCGTGTGTCCATGACTTTGTGCTGTATCTCGTGTGTCCAAGACTTTATTCTGTACCTCATGTGTCCAGGACTTTGTTCTACACCTCGTGTGTCCACATTTTCAAGAGGGTCGAATAGAGCTTCATTTTCCACAACACAGCCGCATGTTGAGCACTCCAACGTGTTCTTGATAGTCTTTTCACAGGAGATAAGGAAATAATTACTCTATAGCATTCCAAACAAAATGTGATGGATTTTCAGCAAAAAAGTGTTGACCCCAAAAGTTATGTGAATGGTCTTCATATCATTATAAATGATTTTATGCAATTTCTTTTGTTGCAGCATTATCCTAACCTTGATCTCGGCACATCATCATGTCCAGTCCATAAATATCAGCTAGACCACATCATCATGTCTAGTCCATCAGAGCACTCGTCACATCATCATGTCTATTAATATCAGCTCGTCACATCATTATGTCTAGTTTAGAGACCGACTGAAAGTGATTTTCTGATTTCGGCTGAAGCAGAAAATAGGACGAAAGTTTAAAATGACTTTCAGCCGAAACCGAAAAAAGGCCGAAAGTTAAAAATGACTTTCGGCCGAAGCCGAAACCGAAAATGAAAAATTTAGATATTTTGAAATTCGTTCCCGTATACATTCTGCATACTTTGAAAATGATGGGGGAAAGTATAAATATGTACATTCTTTTCATAAAAAATGAGATAATCGTGAATATTAATAAAAATGCATCAAAAATAGGGATCTCAAACTCGCGACCTGCGAACCATTTGTTCTTCTTAAAGATCGTTTAGTTTATGGTTAATGATCGATTCGTTTGTTCTAAAAGATCGCCAATTTAATCTTAAAGATCGCTTAATTTGTTCTTAAAGATAATTTAGGTTGTTCTTAAAGATCACTTAGTTTGTTGTTAAAGATCATTTAGGTTGTTCTTAAAGATCGCTTAGTTTGTTGTTAAAGATCATTTAGGTTGTTCTTGAAGATCGCTTAGTTTGTTGTTAAAGATCATTTAGGTTGTTCTTAAAGATCGCTTAGTTTGTTGTTAAAGATCATTTAGGTTGTTCTTAAAGATCGCTTAGTTTGTTGTTCAAAATCGATCATTTTGTTTTTTAAGATAGCTAAGTTTTTTTTTAAAAATCGCTTAGTTTGTGTTATTAAAAGATCGTTTAGTTTGTTCATAAGGATCGCTTAGTTTGTTCTTAAAGATCATTGAATTTGTTCTTAAATATCGCTTCGTTGTTCTTAAAGATCATTCAGTTTTTTCTTAAAGATCATTTAGTTTGTTTTTATAGATCTTTTAGCTTGTTATTAAGAAACGTTTAGTTTGTTCTTAAAGATTTCTTAAATTGTTGTTGAAGATCGCTTAGTTTTTTCACAAAGATCGCTTAGTTTGTTCTTAAAGTTAATTGATTTAGTTCCTTAAGATCGATTAGTTTGATCTTAAAGATCAATAGTTTTTTCTTTAGGATCGTTTATTTTGTTCTTAAAGACCTTTTGTTTGTTCCTAAAGAACATTCAGTTTTCTGTTAAAGATCGCTTAGTTTATTCTTATAAATAATTAAGTTTACTATTCAAGGTCATTTGTTTTGTTCTTAAAGATTACTTAGTTCGTTCTTAAAAATCGTTTAGTTTGTTATTAAAGATCCCTTAGATTGTTCTTAAAGATCGCTTAGTTTGTTTTAAAGATCGTTTAGTTTGTTCTTAAATGTCGCTTAGTTTATTGTTAAATATTGTTTGGTTTGTTCTCAAAGATCGCTTAATTTGTTCTTAAAGATCAATTTATTTGTTTTTAAAGATCGCTTTATGTGGTTTTAAAGATCGTTTAGTTTGCTCTTAAAGATCGCTTAATTAGTTCTTAAAGACCGCTTAATTTGTTCTTAAACATCGTTTAGTTTGTTCTTAAATACCGCTTAGTTTGTTGTTAAATATCGCCTTCGCCGAATATTAGATGACCGAAACCTCACTCACTTTCGGCCGGATGGCCGAAAGTCTAAGTCAATTTCGCCCGAAACCGAAAAAAAACCGAAAGTTAACTTTTGTCTTTCGGCCGGAACCGAAGCCGAAGCCAAATTCGGTCGGTCTCTAGTCTAGTTCATCACAGCACTCGTCACGTCATCATGTCTAGTTCATCATAGCACTCGTCACATCACCATGTCTAGTCCAGCACTTCCATTTATTTTTAAGAGTGTCAGAATTAAGGTCATCAGCTTGTTCAATTTGCCTTTTAAAAGGGGAAACGAACCCTAGAAACACTTTGATCACTTCAACTTTCCCATCGTGAATTGTCACATATCAACACACCTTATAGGCCTGTCAGTGTTTGATAGGATAGGAGTCTGTCAGGTGTGCTGTCCAACATGATTTTAAACATACAATATGTGAGGGGAATTTAAATACCATTTTGTACTTATTGTTTTCTGTAGTGACAGCTGCTAAATGATGACCTGCTAAATGATGACAGCTGCTAAATGATGACCTGCTAAATGATGACAGCTGCTAAATAATGACCTGCTAAATGATGACCTGCTAAATGATGACCTGCTAAATGATGACCTGCTAAATGATGACCTGCTCAATGATGACCTGCTAAATGATGACCTGCTAAATGATGACCTGTTAAATGATGACCTGCTCAATGATGACCTGCTAAATGATGACCTGCTAAATGATGACCTGCTAAATGATGACCTGCTAAATGATGACCTGCTCAATGATGACCTGCTAAATGATGACCTGCTCAATGATGACCTGCTAAATGATGACCTGCTAAATGATGACCTGCTCAATGATGACCTGCTAAATGATGACCTGCTAAATGATGACCTGCTAAATGATGACCTGCTCAATGATGACCTGCTAAATGATGACCTGCTAAGCCCTTGATCTTATGGGGAAAAGGCATTAGACGTTCTTATTGCTCCACGTTCTTGTGACACCCCTTCTTGTGGCACCACCTTCTTGTTGCACCTGTTCTTATGCCACTCTTCTCCTGGGCACTGTGTACAGATATCACTCTGTCTGGAGGCACCCTGCTCTTGTAAACTAAAATATATTATGAAACCGACTCGAGCAAGCACTGCCAAATTTTAAATTTTTCATAGGGCGTCACCCCATGTGAGGGTGCCACCCAGTGCGGCCCGCAACCCCTTATTGACGCCACTATTTGCCATGTAAAGTTTTAAAATCAAGTGACTAATCTCACCCCGTTCTGTCCACACCAGTTCTGTTGTAGGCCCATCACGATGGCAATGATCAATGGACGTCTCAGGATTTTACTTTTAAACAGTTGTAAGACGGAGACCTGTAAATAATGAATACAATAATGAAATGAATGATCTTCTATTTATTACTTCTAGACACTTCTGAGATCAAGTGACGACTTGGAGTGAATTTAAAAAAAAAAAAAATTAATTTGATCGAGTCTCGTAAATCAATGTAAAACTTCACTGAAACTTACTGTAGAGTCGTGTATATAAAGGACCAATTAAATTAAACTGATGGGAAGTGGCGTCACTTATTTGCACGTCATATCATTTATTTTATATCTAGGCTTCCTGATTGATTTCTTGAAAGAAAAAAAACCAAAGACAAATAGTTTGTTCGACAAACAGAAAGTTTCATTCAACAACCAGATAGTTTCATTCAACAACCAGAAAGTTTCGTTCAACAAACAAAAAATCTCATTCAACAAACAGAAAGTCTCATTCTCAAAGAGTATCTACTATGTACTGATAGCTGGCATCAAATGTTATTGAAAGCCATTTATTTAACCACGCCCTCCTTAATTGCATTAACAAAAACATTGATCTAAGTAAGCGTTGCGTTTAGCTCATCCCAGTCTAATTAAGTTGTACATTTAGCTCATCCCAGTCTAATTAAGTTGTACATTTAGCTCATCCCAGTCTAATTAAGTTGTACATTTAGCTCATCCCAGTCTAATTAAGTTGTACATTTAGCTCATTCCAGTCTAATTAAGTTGTACATTTAGCTCATCCCAGTCAAATTAAGTTGTACATTTAGCCCATTCCAGTCTAATTAAGTTGTACATTTAGCTCATTCCAGTCTAATTAAGTTGTACATTTAGCTCAACCCAGTCAAAGTAAGCGTTACATTTGGCTCATCCTTGTCAAAGTAAGTAGTACAATTGGTTTATCCTATTCAAATTAAGGGCTCATCCTAGCCAACGTAAGTGCTATATTTGGCTCATTCCAGTCAAAGTAAGTAGTACTTCAGCGCATCCTAGTCAAAGTAAGTTGTACAATGCTCACCTCAGCATCAGTGGCTGAATCTTTCAACTCAGAGTGGAGTAGTGCGATATCTTTGCTAACATCTTTCTTGTTTCTTATAGTCTGTAGAGCTGATCAGATAGAATGTTATAGAGTGTAGAGCTGATCATAGAGAATGTTATAGTCTGTAGAGCTGATCAGATAGAATGTAATATTTTTTTAGAGCTGATCAGAAAGAATGTTAAGCTTGTAGAGCTGATCTGATAGAATGTTATATTTTTTAGAGCTGATCAAATAGAATTTTATATTTTGTAGAGCTGATCAGGTTCACAGTTATAGAATGTTATAGTCTGTAGAGCTAATCAGTCAGATAGAATGTTGTGGTGTTTAATGCTCACATAATAAAATGTTATCATCCGTAAAGCTGATATATTTCAACTAAACTATTTGTTAACAAGTATCCGGTTAATATGTTTGATATATCGTGGGCTCTATCCTCGGACTCTACCCTCGGGCTCTATCCTCAGGCTCTATCCTCGGACTCTATCCTCGGACTCTATCCTCGGACTCTATCCTCGGACTCTACCCTCGGGGTCTACCCTCGGGCTCTCCTCGGGCTCTACCCTCAGACTCTACCCTCGGGCTCTACCCTCGGGCTTTACCCTTGGGCTCTACCCTCGGGCTCCCCCTCGGGCTCTATCCTTGGGCTCTATCCTCGGGCTCTATCCTCGGGCTCTATCCTCGTGCTCTCCTCGGCCTCCCCGCTCCTCGAGGTCCCCCCTTCTCGGCCCCCCCTCGGGCTCTATCCTTGAGCTCTATCCTCGGGCTCTATCCTTGGGCTCTATCCTTGGGCTCTATCCTCTTAAACTTCAAACCTACCGCTACTTTAGGCGTAAGTTTAAAACAATTTGCTGTTGTATTTAATGAGTGATTTAGCAATGCGGAAAAGCCAATGTCAAACTCAGACAAGGCGCTGTAATGTATTTCCGATGATAACACATGTTTATGAAATGATTCCAAAGTCCGCTCTTATCTGCACTGTAACCGAACAATGCGCTCGCTGGCGTGTTTAAAACGCATTCGTTAACCAACACATATTGAACATTCAACTCTAGCCCAACTTTCTACATTACCGGCAAATTAGCCACACAAATTATCCACACAAATTATCCACACAAATTATCCACACAAATTATCCACACAAATTATCCACACAAATTATCCACACAAATTATCCACACAAATTATCCACACAAATTATCCACACAAATTATCCATCACACAAATCCATCTCATGCAAGTTAAGAGTTGTGGATTTTATTAATAAAGTACGTTATCCTTAATGTTTAGACAAATAAAGGAATTATCTTGGTCTTGATCATTTTATCTGATGTCGTAACGTGAGCTGCTTCTCTTCTTCATTGCGTTTTCAACCCCCAGGAGAGACATAAACAATTTCTTTCCCAGCTTTCCGGTCTCTAGCTGTCTCCACCAACGCTCTCCAACTCTGTCCAGTCTTACTTATGCTGTAAAGTCTCATCTCTGCGGCGGCCACCTGATAACTTTCCCCATCTCCATTTTTATGCGTACATTCCAGTTGCCAACCTGGTGATTTTCCTCAGTGAAAAGGACGTAGTCTGCAACTCAGCCTCCTTTCAGATTTGACCCAGTCACTTCAGGATCCCCTTCACAGAGCCCTCCTTCTCTAATGATGTCGGGCATGAAGTAGAATTTGTTAATGATTTTGTAGCAGTTATTTTTTTTTTTTTTTACTTTGCTGAGTCCCTTGCCCCATGCTAAAACCATCCAACCATGCATGCAGTCTGTGAACCCGTTAGCCTGGCTCTTTTGTCCGTATGCCCATCAATCACGTCAAGGTAAGTTAAGGAAGAGGTACTGTGCGTCCCCTCAATCACGTCAAGGTAAGTTAAGGAAGAGGTACTGTGAGTCCCCTCAATCACGTCAAGGTAAGTTAAGGAAGAGGTACTGTGAGCCCCCTCCCCCACGTCGAGGATATCACTTCGAAAGGAGGGTGTATTATAAGCCCCCTTCACCACGCCAGAGTAGGCTATTTGAAAAGGAAAAGGGGGGGGGGTTGTTGTCAGCGGTTGATCAAAGCAACCACCCAGCTGCATATATGTCTGTATGACGTATTTCACTAAATAACTAATAACATCAAGCGTAAACACAGTTGGCTCCAGCGATATCAAAATTATTTTAAATTCGATTACCTTTAGTGGCTCCAGCGATATCGAAATCGTCTTTATTTAATATTCGATTACCTTCATTGTCTCTAGCGATATCTTTTTGTTTTAAATTCGATTACCTTTAGTGGCTCCAGCGATATAAAAATTTTCGTTATTATAAATTCGATGACCTTTAGTGGCTCTAGCGATATCATAATTTTCTTTTATTTTGAATTCGATTACCTTTAGTGGCTCCGGCGATATCATTTTTCTTCATTAACAGGTACCTTGGGCTTTCCGGGCAGAATGGGAAAATGATCAGTTGTAGGCCAAAGAAAATAACCGGAAATCCTGTGAGGAAAGAGCACATGTGTAAAAAGAATGTATAACTAATTCTTAGGAAGAGTTTGTGTGTGTGTACAAAAAAAAGGTTGGGGGGGGGGGGGTATTCTTTGATCCTAATGCTTTTTCTATACAATTATTTTCCTCTCCAGGCAAAATCAGATGATGCCTCGTCAACTATACCTTAATAAGTTTTCTGAAATTATTAATATGTTTAGGTTCTTTTCTGCTCTGTAAAGACTGATTTCAACACTCGGTGGCTACTCACCCAAAAGCAGATGCCAGTGTTCGTCGTTGCCTAGCAACTCCATGTAGCCCATCACCTGGGCGATGACGAATGAGAAGCTCTGAAACAACTGGTTGATGAGCGCCACGCTTCCTCTCATGGATGGCTGAGACATCTCCACGGCGTAGGCCGGTGCGATGGTGTAACCCCATCCTAGATGGAACAACGGCGCACAGAGACGAACAAATAAGACTGGTTTGTTTTTGTTTTTTTGTGTTTTTTTTTAACACATGGCTCAAATTAGATGGAAGTTTAAAATGGGAAATGTCAGTTGCTGTACTAAGTGTTTTGAGAAGGGAGACATCATGAGTCATCAAGATATTCCGTTCAACAATTTTTGGGTCGCCAGTGAGATTTATTTCATGCTACACAGTAAACCAGATGTGGTGTGGTAATCCTTTTAAATATAACTCAAAAAAAACAACACACGATCCACCACCTTACCTAATGTAACTCCAGTAATCACTCTGCCCACCAATACGATCACAAAAACCTACGTAATGTAACACGAGAAATCACTCTGCCCACCAATACGATTACAAGAACCTGCCTAATGTAACACGAGAAATCACTCTGCCCACCAATACGATTACAAGAACCTACCTAATGTAACACGAGAAATCACTCTGCCCACCAATACGATTACAAGAACCTACCTAATGTAACACGAGAAATCACTCTGCCCACCAATACGATTACAAGAACCTACCTAATGTAACACGAGAAATCACTCTGCCCACCAATACGATTACAAGAACCTACCTAATGTAACACGAGAAATCACTCTGCCCACCAATACGATTACAAGTACCTGCCTAATGTAACTCGAGTAATCACTCTGCCCACCAACACAATTACAAGTACCTGCCAAATGTAGCCCCAATAATCAACCCGCCCGCCAACAAGATTACAAGTACCTGCCTATTGTAATTCCAGTAAACAACCTGCACTCCGACACGATTACAAGTACCCACCTAACGTAACTCCAGTAATCACTCTGCCCACCAACAAGATCTCGTAAGACTTCGTAACTCGACAAAGAGCCATCAAGACAACTCCGACTATTCCGGACAATGAGGCCACGAGAATCGCATGTTTTCTGGTGTACGAACGAGAAGTTCTCATTACATTGAATCCAATCAAATATATTTTAAAAATAAATATATATATTTTTTTGTCCTTGGACAAATCAGTCTTTGGAAATAAAGGTGCAGGTTCCAAAAAAAAAAAAATATACAGAAACATCTCAATAATTTTGCATTACTGTTGGGAAATGATTAGACGTAGTCTTAAATGAAATCTTTTTGAGTTAACTCCTAGCATCCGATTTACTGGGATCAGATGCACATATGACTTATGCAACCATCCACTATTATTGAAGCCCTGCATCCTTTTTTCAACGCAAACCAATCCCTTTAAAGTGTTTGGCGGACGCTAAGGTATATATATTTATGCCCAATCAACAGATTAACCCTAATAAATGCGTTAACTATTTTAAGGAGCATACACATCTTCTTCTTTTTCTTCCTTCTTCTTGTTGAGACCATAATCCCTTGACCATAATCCCTTGACCATAATCCCTTGACCATAATCCCTTGACCATAATCCCTTGACCATAATCCCTTGAACCTAATCCCTTGACCATAATCCCTTGTTACTCCTGATGTTTACTCCAAATAATTCCACATGTTTTGGGTTTGGGTTTGGGTTTATTTTATTTTTTAAATAATTATCACATGTCCCACAATTCAGACAGATTCAAAAATTGTCGAAGCCGTCGTGATTATTATTTGTTTCTTGGCGACACTTAGAAAACACGATTTATCAGAAGAACGCGCGAAGACATACGAGGAACGCGATGGGTTCGGTAATTATCGGTTACACAGTACCACCTTTGAGTTCATATGTTAGAACATTTGTCAATCTCCGTGCTGCTATATTTAGAAAGCTTATCTCAGCTAGCATTGCTTGGATCGTGATTTTTTGTTTTTTAATCTCCTCTGACTTGAAGTTGAATAGTTCACATCAATAGCTTTTATCGCGCTTGTTTCATTGTCTTTTTTTAATATTTAGGTGCCATTAGCCTCTGTGGAATGGGAACAAATCACTTATTGAACTTAGCGACATCTTACCATCTGTTGTTATATCTCTACTTCTGTTCAAGAATTTGAAGAATTTGTTTACAGTGAATAGGATTTTAATCTCATCGCTAAGGATGTTAGAAAAAAATGGCGTACCAATGCAAAGAATTGTACAATTAATGAGCGAATGCTAAAATTTCTTAAATGTATTATGCAAAGGACGACTGTGCATGAGTGTAGATGAGCGATCCAGGTAGTCAAAGGAAGACTGTGCATGAGTGTAAATGAGCGATCTAAGTAGTCAAAGGAAGACTGTGCATGAGTGTAAATGAGCAATCTAGATATTCAAAGGACGACTGTGCATGAGTGTAGAAGAGCACTCTAGGTAGTCAAAGGAAGACTGTGCATGAGTGTAGATGAGCGATCTAGGTAGTCAAACGAAGACTGTGCATGAGTGTAGATGAACACTCTAGGTAGTCAAAGAAAGACTGTGCATGAGTGTATATGAGCAATCTATGTAGTCAAAGGAAGACTGTGCATGAGTGTATACGAGCAATCTATGTAGTCAAAGGAAGACTGTGCATGAGTGTAGATGAGCGATCTAGGTAGTCAAAGGAAGACTGTGCATGAGTGTAGCTGAGCACTCTATATGTAGCCAAATGATTTGAAATGAATGTAGAAGAAAGTTAATTATGTTGTTTGTTTTTTTAAATTAATTTTTGAATTATTTGCTGAACAGAAATTTTTGTGTAACGCATTTTAATAAATTTTAAATCATGTTTTACTTTATAATGCATTTTAACTCGTCTTTGATAGAGAGTCAATTTTTTTAATAATTTAGTTGGGGTTTTTTTCTCCATCTTTTATTATTAGAATTGTAATCTTTAAATTAGCGACACAAGTAGAATTATTTACTTTTTCAGCATCCATTGTTTACAAAATCCCAGTTAAAGTAACTTACCTCTTTACCTATGCATAAAACTAAAAAGTAGAACTGAGCTAACCCAGCCACCCATTCACTTAACCGAGAAGCAGACGCATATACCAAGAAAATTTAAGCGATATGGTCGACCCAGATGAACATGGCACATGAACATGGCACATGAACATGGCACATGAACATGGCACATGAACATGGCACATGAACATGGCACATGAACATGACACATGAACATGGCACATGAACATGGCACATGAACATGGCACATGAACATGGCACATGAACATGGCACATGAACATGGCACATGAACATGGCACGGCAACTTTTTAACATGTCACTTGTCTAAACAAACAGATTACGCTAGACACACGAGACTGCGCCCCACGAGATGGAAATGTGCGTAGAAAGAAGTCTTGTAAGAAATATAACAGAAAGTGGAATAATTGAATCCTTTACAGAAATTACTCTAAAGTTTTAGATCCTAAAGTACCCATCAATGCTGTGACATTACTGGAACAGCTTTAGACAAGAACACATCAAAGCTGTCCAAATACTTTAAATGTACTCAAACACATGGCGTAGAAAACAATATGATCTTAACTATAATCACTGCTCACCTGCCAATACAGTCCGCTAACTGGCTGGCTGTCATTGACCCAGCAGCTGACCCTAGTCCGATTAATGCCACCAACAGGCCAAATAAAGAGTCGACTTTGTCTTGGTCCATCCACGTCCCGTCGCGTTCATATTGAGTTTGATTCATGAACTCTTTGATGAGCTGTGCATGATGAGAGAATGTTGTGTGTGAACAAAGGGGGATAAACGTTGGCAGAGCAGGGATAGAACGAGTCAGAGAGTGAAGAAAAATAGCCTTTAATGAAAGAACTTATTTGGCAAATTGTTTTGGCCAAACTTCCATTGCTCATTGAACAACGTTCGTTCGTTTTGAGTGAAGTATTTTGTAATAAAATATTATAATAAATATTAGAGGACTCTGTGCTAATGTGATCAGCGTATTAGAGAGAATGTCATCGGCATACCCCTAGAGCAGGCCTGCACAACATACGGCCCGCGGGCGGCATACGGCCCGCCTTCTTTGAGGCCCGCGAAGTAACGAAATATTCTTTATTATTATTATTCTCTTAGTAGCTTCCCCACCCACCCCCCCCCCCAAAAAAAAAAAAAAAAGAATCCTGTTTTCTTACGGCCCGCACAAGTTTTTCATAAAGTATTACAGCCCGCCTTAAATTTTGAGTTGTGCGGGCCTGTCCTAGAGTAATACACAACAACGGTCAAAATAAAATAAAAATTAAACAGCCCTTAAAACGAAGTTTTTTCGTATAAACACTTTACAAAATTTGTTGTTATTTTATTTTAATATTCTAAAGACCCACTCGCTTTTCAACCGCAGATTTATTTCACCAACTATTTCATAAAAACAAAAGAAAATATTACGCACTAAACGCACTTGCGATATTTTTTTTAAAGAATCTCATTTAGCGCAGAATCGGGAATTCTATTTTGTGAAATCGATGACATAATATTTCTTTCATCTTTTCCCTTGGAAAACAGAAAAAAACAACAACGGATTTTTGAAGACCGGGGGGTGGGGCTGAAAATTTGATAGAATGTGTTGTTATCTGCAATGAGTCTATGTGCCAAGTTTCAGCTCGATAGGTAGACGGGAAGTGCGTCAATTAGCCCTCCGAAAATTTTGCCGCACACTCAGCCAGAAAGAAAGAAACACATAAACAAAAAGCGAAGTTAATATAAAGGATTTTCTTTTTAAACACATAAATTATTGACATTGGTGAGCTTTTCTTTTTTTTTTTAAATTTATTCAGAACCAAACGAAATCACGAGTTCTCCCTTTCCATGATAAATGGCAAGGCCCATAATACTCCCAATTTACTCTGATTAATCATGAATTATATGATTAAATATCATCCTAAATTAATTTATGTAACATGTAGATTCTAGTTTTACATCAGGTGACCATCAAATTTTCATTATGTGTTTAATTAACATTTTTTTGTGTGCAAATAATGACGAAACGACCGTGGGTAGATAGCTCCTCCAAAATTAAACGAAATTTTAGAAGCGCTTTAGGCTTCCTGGGATGATTGATGAAACGGGCTCATAATTGTTCGCAAAACATTTGTGAAATAAAGGGTGAATAATAATAATAGTAATAATAATAATAATATTGTTCAAAGATTTTTTAAAAATTTATTTTAATTTGACATTTGTGAAATAAAGAGTGAATAATAATAATAATATTGTTCAAAGATTTTTTTAAATTTATTTTAATTTGACATTTGTGAAATAAAGAGTGAATAATAATAATAATAATATTGTTCAAATATTTTTAAAATTATTTTACTTTGACATTTGTGAAATAGAGAGTGAATAATAATAATAATAATAATAATGTTGTTCAAATATTTTTTTAATTATTTTACTCTGACATTTGTGAAATAAAGAGTGAATAATAATAATAAGATTGTTTAAATGTTTTTTTTTTTTAAATTTTACTTTAATGGTAGAGTTACTTACATCTGTAGGTGCATTTAGTGAAGATATCGTATAGGAGATCCCTGGGATGGTGAGGTAGGCACTAAACATAATCAGGATATACTTGAAGGTCCATCCGTTCTGAATAAGAAGAGTGAAAGGTATTTTTAACATTTTGAAATATTTTTATAGCAATTTGCTTTTATCTCTACATTAACATTAAGACAAGACAACTAATATACACTTCATGTCACAAGCTTTACTGGCTGTATATGTATAAGGATATAAAGTGATACAATTCATCGTACTGTAGGAGTTGAGTCATCTTCCAAGGGAATGTCTTTGTCTTGTTGGTGTCCCTCTGACTTCCCATCCATGTGTTTGGCTTCGAATGAGTAGCTTCTGTTAGACATGGTGGTGGCGCGCTGATGACTTCTTGTGGTTTCATAAACTGTCTATTGAGTCGTCACGATAAATACTTGATCGAATTTAATCATTAATTTTTTTAATTATTTTTTTTTAGCTTCTGTTGAAAATGGTTAATGTTTGCCCTGGCGTGAGTGAGTTATGCCCCATGTTTTAAAAAACACAAATTCATCGTGTTCGACAGCACGTATAAAATGATGTAATCCGCATACATGGAAGAACCAAACACAAAACTGCCGATAAAATAAAAACGACATTAACAGTGGGGCAATAATAAATCATAATTTAAACGAGTATTGAAATATTATTTTTTTTTAAATAAACGGTGATGAACCAAATCAAGCTCTGAACACAATAAACGATAATGGATCCACTTCCACCCGTGGGAAGATGCGTCAAATTTTAAAACTCAACAATCTCGTAATTAATACCCGTATGTTCTCGTGTGCTGCTAATGTTACATGAAGTCACGTTTGGAAAATCTCAACTGACAACTGACTGACTGTATCACCTCAAAACTATTTCAATTCATGGCGACTGATTAGAGTTCGATGTCATAACGGTAATCTAAGTGTAACAGTTAACCTGATAAAATTCATCTAGCCAGAGTTTTTGGACCTTGTTTTGTTGTTTTAAAAAATCGACCTGGAACACTTTATGTTTGCGCTCTCATTAATTTGGACTTTAAAAATTATTTGAAAATTTAGAGGTTCTGAAATGTTCACATTTGGCCTACCCCAAATATACTCAATCATTCACTCACACTCACACACTTTCTCTCTCTCTCTCTCTCTCTCTCCCCTCTCTCTCTCTCCCCCTCTCTCTCTCTCTCACTCACTCTCTCTGAGAGTAAAAGGATAGCAGGACAATGAGGGGACTCTGCTTCCCCATTAATAAACAGCTGGTACTAACATATGGCTGTTTTGTACTGCATATTGTAGATTACCACCTCACCAAAAATCAGATGACACTAAAAGATGGATGTTGTGTACTGTAGATTACAGATTATTACATCACCAATAATCAGATGACACTAAAAGATGGCTGTTGTGTACTGCAGATTACAGATTATTACATCACCAATAATCAGATGACACTAAAATGTGGATGTTGTGTACTGTAGATTACAGATTATTACATCACCAACAATCAGATGACACTAAAAGATGGATGTTGTGTATTGTAGATTACAGATTATTACATCACCAATAATCAGATGACACTAAAAGATGGATTTTGTGTTCTGTAGATTACAGATTATTACATCACCAATAATCAGATGACACTAAAAGATGGCTGTTGTGTACTGTAGATTACAGATTATTACATCACCAATAATCAGATGACACTAAAAGATGGATTTTGTGTACTTTAGATTACAGATTATTACAACACCAATAATCAGATGACACTAAAAGATGGCTGTTGTGTACTGTAGATTACAGATTATTACAACACCAGAAATCAGATGACACTAAAAGATGGCTGTTGTGTACTGTAGATTACAGATTATTACAACACCAATAATCAGATGACACTAAAAGATGGGGAAAAAGGGGGGGGGCACAGGAGGTAGTGTCTGAATGAGAGTGGGCCGCATCAAGTAATCCACAAAGAAGCGATTACAACTGTTACAATCTGCTCAACCTTTACAAATAGCAATAAAATCATTAAGGGTCTCAAGAACTACTCACTATTGCCAAAGAACTGTCATACAAAAATATATAGAAACATTTTTTTTTTAAAATCTGAATTAGACTAGTCGGTGAGATTGGACTGAAACCGTCGCGGAGAGTCACGTTATAGATATGAGAATGGGGGAAACGGGCCGGCGCATTTACACTAAACTTTTCTGTCATGTAGCGGGCCGCAAAATATCGTCTTGCGGGTCACAAATGGCTCGCGGGCCGCGAGTTTGAGACCCCTATATTATATGTTTATTTATTAATATTCACAATCATCTCATTTTTTTATAAAAAGAATGTAAATATTTATACTGTCCCACATCATTTTCGATGTATCCAGAATGTATGCGGGAACGAATTTCAAAATATCTTAATATTTCATTTTCGGTTTCGGTTTCGGCTTCGGTTTCGGCCGAAAGTCATTTTTAAACTTTCGGCATTTTTTCGGTTTCGGCCGAAAGTCATTTTAAACTTTCGGCTTATTTTTGGCTTCGGCCGAAATCACAAAATCACTTTCGGTCGGTCTCTATACAGATTATTACAACACCAATAATCAGATGACACCAAAAGATGGCTGTTGTGTACTGTAGATTACAGATTATTACGACACCAATAATCAGATGACACTAAAAGATGGCTGTTGTGTACTGTAGATGATTACAAATAAAGATATTGACCTTGTTATGCAGTGCCTGTTGTTTAAGATAAGCAAGATCACCACTGGTGTATAGGTCAAGGCTGTTGATGTTTATGGTTCATCTCAGAGCACTATCTGTCGACATAAAACTAGAGAAATGCTTCTCATTAAAAAACAATTAAAAAACATTATTTAAAAAAAAAAAACTCTTAACATTCCTTTGGATTGGGCTGCACTGTACATTTTATAACAAGAATGTTAGTTAGTCCATCGATTCGATGACATCATCCGAATGGTGCCGAGGCTGATTCTAATGGCAGGTGAGGTTACACCAATGCTGGAACGAATTATTTTTTTTGTGCAGTAGGGACAAAGGATAGATGGATAGTGCAGTGGATGCAAGGTATAGATGGATAGTGCAGTAGATGCAAGGTATAGATGGATAGTGCAGTGGATGCAATGTATAGATGGATAGTGCAGTGGATACAAGGTATAGATGGATAGTGCAGTGGATGCAAGGTATAGATGGATAGTGCAGTGGATGCAAGGTATAGATGGATAGTGCAGTGGATACAAGGTATAGATGGATAGTGCAGTGGATACAAGGTATAGATGGATAGTGCAGTGGGCTCAAGGGATGGATGGATAGTTCAGTAAGTGCAAGGGATAGATGGATAGGGCAGTAAGTGCAAGGGATAGATGGATAGTTCAGTAAGTGCAAGGGATAGATGGATAGTTCAGTAAGTGCAAGGGATAGATGGATAGTTCAGTAAGTGCAAGGGATAGATGGATAGGACAGTAAGTGCAAGGGATAAATGGATAGGGCAGTATGTGCAAGGGATAGATGGATAGTTCAGTAAGTGCAAGGGATATATGGATAGGGCAGTAAGTGCAAGGGATAGATGGATAGGGCAGTAAGTGCAAGGGATAGATGGATAGGGCAGTAAGCGCAAGGGATAGATGGATAGGGCAGTAAGCGCAAGGGATAGATGGATAGGGCAGTAAGTGCAAGGGATAGATGGATAGGGCAGTAAGCGCAAGGGATAGATGGATAGGGCAGTAAGCGCAAGGGATAGACGTACAGTGCATCAGGTGCAAGAGAAGGATGAATGGTGCAGTAGGTGCATTTGTGAGAGCAGTGACCCTGTTGGCTTCTGGTTGCAAGAAGTCTTTGTGTGAGGAGGAGCCTCACGAGGCTCGATGTTGGCTTCTGGCAGCAAGAAGTCTTTGTGTGAGGAGGAGCCTCACGAGGCTCAATGTTGGCTTCTGGCAGCAAGAAGTCTTTGTGTGAGGAGGAGCCTCACGAGGCTCGATGTTGGCTTCTGGCAGCAAGAAGTCTTTGTGTGAGGAGGAGCCTCACGAGGCTCGATGTTGGCTTCTGGCTGCAAGAAGTCTTTGTGTGAGGAGGAGCCTCACGGTGAGGAGGAGCCTCACGGTGAGGAGGAGCCTCACGGTGAGGAGGAGCCTCACGAGGCTCGATCTTGTGCCGATTATTCCCACGTGTCCGGGTTTATGAAGAAAGTTTTCAGTGAGACGTTCGATTATTTCATCAGTCAACCAGGACAACAAGAATAATATTACAGACGTAAACAATACTGTATTGTCCCCGAAGTCCTAGCAACACTGTCATTTCTCATTTGTCCTAGCTGTACTGTCATTTCCCATTAGTCCTAGCAACATTGTCTTTTCCTATTAGCCCTGTAGCAATACTGTCTTTTCCCATAGTTCTAGCAACACTCCCTTTTCCCCTTAGCCCAAAAACACTGTCTTTTCCTATTAGTCCTAGCAACACTGTCTTTTCCCATTAGTCTTAGCAACACTGTCTTTTCCCCCTTTTCTTAGCAACACTGTCTTTTCCCCTTAGTCCTAGCAACATTGTCTTTTCCTATTAGCCCTAGGAACACTGTCTTTTCCCATTAGTCCTAGCAACACTGTCTTTTCCCATTAGTCCTAGCAACACTGGCTTTTCCACTTTGTCCTAGCAACACTGTCATTTCCCATGAGTCCTAGCAGTATTGTCTTTTCCCATTAGTCCTAGAAACACTGTCTTTTCCCATTAGTCCTAGCAACACTGTCTTTTCCCCATTAGTCCTAACAACACTGTCTTTTCCCATAAGTCTTAGCAACACTGTCTTTTCCCCCTTTTCTTAGCAACACTGTCTTTTCCCCTTAGTCCTAGCAACATTGTCTTTTCCTATTAGCCCTAGGAACACTGTCTTTTCCCATTAGCCCGAGGAACACTGTCTTTTCCCATTAGTCCTAGCAACACTGTCTTTTCCCATTAGTCCTAGCAACACTGGCTTTTCCACTTAGTCCTAGCAACACTGTCATTTCCCATGAGTCCTAGCAGCATTGTCTTTTCCCATTAGTCCTAGAAACACTGTCTTTTCCCATTAGTCCTAGCAATACTGTCTTTTTCACTTAGCCCTAGCAACATTGGCTTTTCCACTTAGCCCTATTAACACTGTCTTTTTCCCTTAGTCCTTGAACACTGTCGAAAAAGACCACACAAAATAAGGCCAAATTTTTTGTACAAACAATTTTAGATTTACAAGAACATAGATAAACTGGCAACCCCATGTAATGTTTTTAAACCAAGCGACTGGGGCCATATTGTTTAATACATGTATCACAGGGTAAGGGTTAATATATTCTTTTTGTATGTGCTGATCCCTGTTTAAAATAATAGTTTAAGCTGTATTGACATATGGTTAAAATAAGACGAAGAATAGTAATATCACTGTGTACTAGATTATGTGTGCTGTCGAACATGATTCCGACATAACTGCCCCATTTCTTGATGGCTTCTTATCTAATTTGGAGTTCAGAATGAAAACGACCCATGCACTCAAGGATCGCCGTTTAATTTTCTTTTGGCATAGTGAGTCCAGCGTCTCTTCCTTTCCTTGCTTCCTCTTTGTCATCGGTTAAAACACCAATTTTTATCTCTGCTGATATGACAATTAATTGTTCCAAATTCTAAAGTCTGTTGTTTAAAAAATGCGTGTTCCATTGTAGGCTCCACTTTAATTTGAGTGTGCTTGTAGTGCAAAAACGGTTTTTGCGCTTCTGCCTTGCGCTTCACCATTTTATCAAGAATTAAGCCCTTAGTCTGCAGCTCTACCGGCCCACAGCGTCCCGGGCAACAGGGGCGGAGACACGCGTAATCACTGGTAGCGGGAAAAAAGAATTTCCGTTGTGCCTCGTGTGTCCGAATTTTCACGAGGGGCGTGGAGAGCTTCAACCGTCGCGGTCATCAAACGAGTCTTTAAACTGCGGGTGGTAGGCAGAGCAAGGACGATGAGAACACAAGTGTGGCGTGTGTAGTCCTTTCGCTGACGTTGCGGTGTGTTCAATTGAAGCATCCCTTCTGGGGATTAGCAAGAATATTTATAAACTCGTTCAGAGTTTTTTGGTTACAAGAATAGATACAGTTTTGTGCAACCCCCCCCCCCCAAAAATTATTTTTTTTTTTTTGTTTTGTTCTTTTGTTATTAATAAATATATTATGAAAGCGACTCGAGCAAGTTCAGTCGAATTCGCAGTTTTCCATTTGGTGTCACCCCATGTGAGGGTGTCATGCAGCGTGGCCGGCACCCCTTGCAACGCCACTGGAGAAGCACAAGCACTAGTCGGAACAACAATCACCATTGTGAACAATGGTTTTTTTTCAATTTATAAGTTATATTAGTATTAACTCGGCATCAGGTGGCAAGACAAAGTAACTGACACAGAGGTCCTCGCTAGAGCGAACCTACCTAGTATCTTCACCAGTCTGATGCAGTCTCAACTCCGTTGGATGGGACACGTAGCCCGTATGGAAGACCACCGGCTCCAGAAACAGATATTCTTCGGAGAGTTCACGACAGGCAAGCGCTCCCATGGCGGTCAAAAAATAAAAGCGTTATAAAGACTCACTGAAAGTGCCACTAAAGGCCTTCAGCATCAACCCTACTCAGTGGGTGCAGACAGCCCAGGACAGAGCCAGGTGGAGAGCTTCTGTGAAGAAGGGGGCTAAATCCCACTAAGGTAATAGGATAACCACAGCTGAGACACGCAGGCATGCACCGGCTGCAGCAACTATCGCTTGCCCATGATGCCAGAGATTATTCCGAGCACGGATCGGTCTAGCAAGCCACCTACGAGATCACCATAACCCACCCTCCCCCTAAGCGGATGACTCGATGGTCCTAGTCCAGGGGTCGGCAACCTGCGGCTCTTTTGATGTCTAGATGCGGCTCTCCAGTTCCATGCGCAAATATTAATAATTATATTGAAATAAAAATGTTAGTGGCTCTTTAAAAACTGGGAAATTTTATAAATTGTAACTTTTGGCTCTTTCGTCTCTAAAGGTTGCCGACCCCTGTCCTAGTCGACTTCAACGGACGAACAGCAACAACCGATTAATATACATTCATTTAGGAATTGATTTTTTAATACGCGCACCGAACAAACATGACCAATGGGCGTGGTTACCTTGAGCACGTGACGTGACGTTCATGGGGCTCAGCTACTTTGATTTTCATGGTAGGGGTTCCATGACAAAACGACAAATGACAAAACGACAAGTGACAAAACGACAAAGGACAAAACGACAAGTGACAAAACGACAAGGTGACGAAACGACAAGGTGACAAAATGACAAGATGACAAAACGACAAGGGGACAAAACGACTAGGTGACAAAACGACAAGGTGACAAAACGACAAGGTTACAAAACGACAATGTAACAAAACGACAAGTGACAAAACAACAAGTCTTCAACGCCAATGCCTCCACTGTCTTTAATGCCACAAGGGGACAATTTGATTGTTGGGGGGGAGGGGGCAACGAAAATGAGTTATTTAGATTTTGAAAACCAACCCGCCAGTATGATTTAACTTGTATTTTAAAAGGAAAATCGTTAAAGTCTCAATTCAAAATAAGCGTTCGAAGTGTGGTAAAAATCTGTTGATTTCAAAGGTAGTCAATAGTTGACAAATAAATGGCTGCTTAAAATGTATACAAAATGAGAATCCAGAAATGCTACTTGTACATTGTGTTATTCATAGGGAAAACTTGGTAGCTAAAAACATTTCGTCTTCTATAAATGAAGTACTAAGTCTAGTACTAAAGTCTATCAATGCTATTAAAGCTAATGCCAAATGTAAACGTCTCTTTAAGCAATTTTTTTGAAAGACAAAATGCGGACTGTGTGAGACTTTTACTTCACACTGAAGTAAGATGGCTTTCAAAAGGGAATGGCTTGAAAAGATTTATGGAACCATTTGATGCTCTTTAAAGCGACGAACCTGAAATGAATTATCTGTGAACGGTCGATAGTAAAGCATTTGTGAGTTATTTAGCCAATATCTTTGAAATTCTAAATTTATTAACTAACCAACTTCAAGGAACAAATTCCCTTCGATGCAAAAGTGAAGATATTTGGTTTCAATACCTGTATTGAATTCTGTAAGAAATATATTTACAACACAAATTTTGAAAAGTTGCATTGGCTCCAAAAATGTGAAGTGTCTTTTACCGCTATACTTGTTATTATCGATTATCTGAAAATTGTATCGGCTAATAAGAAAGATTTTCTGATTTGAAACAAATTGATTTTCCAACTTGGATGATGCAGCTAATGTTAGTGGATTTCTCTGATACTTCAAATATGCAGTATCAAGAAGAACTGGCGGACATGCACAGTGATGAGTCAGTTAAAACTTTATTAATTATAAAAGGAACACATGGCTTTGTGGGGTAACAGAAATCAAAGATCCAAATTCAACCAAAATGTGCAAGAAAACTATTGTTATCGTTTCCTTCTTCATATTTAGCTGAATGTGGATTTAGTGCCAAAAATGATTTGCTGAAAAACAAATGGGCTGGGTATAATACAACGGGAGACTTGAGACTGAAGCTAACTGAATTGAAACCTAACATAAAATTTCTTATCAGCAAGCATCAAGCACAAACATCTCACTAACGTTAAACGATAAATAATTACCAATAATTTAAATAATACAGAAATATATATCATTAAAATTATTACGTAAATGAATGTCCATTCTCCATATATGTTTTGAACATTTACTTGCAATGATTTCTCAACAATTTCATATTGATTTCTTCCTAAAACCTATTATTAAAGTTTCTTCAGGGAACAACCCTATTTTTGAACATTTTAAATTATGTATTATAATACATGTGGGGCACAAGAATGTTAGAAAGTCTTAGGTGGCACAAAAAAGATTGTGAAACACTGCCTTACATACAAAAAGGTATAGTCAACTTGTTTAGATATTTTACATGCCTTATAATTAGAGAAATTCGGTTATCAGACTAACCCTAACCTAAACTTTGTTGTTTTGTCACCTTGTCGTTTTGTCNTATATATATATATATATATATATATATATATATATATATATATATATATATATATAGGTTATCACATTTTTATTTTTTAATTGTGCTATTAAATCGGAAAGAATCCAGAATTTGTTTTTTATTTAGTCAAACAATATGTTTAAGCTGACCACTCGTAGTCATTTTACCGAGACAGTGACAGTACTGTAGTTTTTTTTAAATATTTTAAATTGTTTAAATTTATTATACCTATGTCCTGGTTTGTCGTGAGCTGAACAGTTTAATAATTTAAAAAAATTAAAACTTTAGTTGACCAGAAGATCAAGAAGGCCTACTTCCTACACCTGTTGATGTACAGAGAAGCGTCAATGAATGACATAACTTTTCAAATCAGCTTCTATTTTTTTAAAAACGGCAGCTTGTGGACTGACATGCTCTTAATGTAATCACAAACAAGTGTTTGTTTTAGGAAATACATGGCCCAAAAAGATTTTTAAATGTCCTGGTTTTAAATGTGTAAATTTTAAAATGATCTGATTTTGATCTTGAAAAAAGGGGTCATCTTAAGTAAGTGTTATTGACTTCTTTTTTTTTGGGGGGGGGGAACGGAGATATCGAGTTAAATGAGGTTGTTAGCAAGACCTGGAATGAAGCTGAAGAGATGGAGACAAGGAGTGACAGTGGGGGAGTAGGAAGTGGGGGGGGGAGGTGGGTAATAGATCCCTCCTTTGCATAGCTCGTTGGCCTAATCTAATGTTCTCTTGGTATAGGAATCAATTTTTTTCAATCTGTGAAAAATGATTTAGAATTAAGAATTGTATTCCTATTTTTTTTTTTTTAAAGTACCGGTATCGAAAATCGTTTGGAAAGAATTTAAAAACTGTAATAATAGCAACAATTAAATTTTTGGTCACTAAAAATATATGGTGACAATATTATTATTATTTTATTTTTTTATCAAATAAACCATTCTTTACAGATTCACCATCCAAAAAAATTTACCAGATTTTGAAATTGTGGACCACAACTCTTAGGTACTTAATGAAAGACTAAAGATGAAATCAATTGACTTTCAGAATCCAACTTCCTTTTCCTGTTGTATGATTCTATACCAGGGACATCTTTGTAAGAGCACCTTTTAAAATCGTATTTAAAAACTATTTAACATTATTATTTTTAAAGAAATGTCATGATTTATCATTTGTTATTTAGCTGAACTATATTTTAATAATTTAATTTTTGATTTCTTTTAGGAGGATATCCGTTTCAAAATGTCTGACGCGGAAGGGTAAGCTTGTTTATATTTTATCCTAAATTTTATGATTTATTTCAATATTTACGTCATGTTAACATGTATGACTATTTATTATAGAAGTTCGTTATTAGTTTATTAATTATAATCCAATTTTTTGTTTGTTGGTTTGTTAAACGAAATGGGTTAAGATATAAAATAGGAAAGGCTACAATTTTAAATCAACATTCTTGATTCAATCAATGTTGGCTTGAATTTTTAACATGTTTTACACTCAAATTTACTGTGTGTAATTATTGTAAATCATTGAATTTAGTGAATTTTCTTGCAAATTCATCATACGCATTGTAAGACGGAAGCTATGATTTATGATGCATGGTCAGTGGTGTCGAAAAATTACAACTGCACAGACAGGAGTGTAGTGATAAAGTAAGAGGGATGTGAATTTTTGACATTTTGCAGGTGTAATGTGGATGGCCCTGCCCTTACCGCATAATTGTTGAGGGCTCATAATCACACTAAGGTTTAGTTATACCAAGCCAATATACTACTTGCAGAAAAATAGCTGATTTTGGGTTAGAGTTAAGGCTGACGATGTGGAGGTCATAGATGATGGAGGTTCCCCCTGGTTAGTTTCTATCTATAACCATAGTATAGCTTGTATTCAAAAGATTTTGATTTTTAAGATTGTGTGTCTACTTGTTTTCTATTTTTGACAGTGGATGCAGGTATTTATTTTGGTATTGAAAAAAAGGGGAGGGGATGTGAGATGGTCATGGATGTCATGGTGAAATGTTAGAAATCATTAGGTCTAGGTACACTAATTACTAATATAACAAATATTTAACTGTTGCACATGATTAATTAATTAAAAAGCTTTCCCTGGCCAATCGCACACTGCAAACTCTCATGAGTGAAACTGAAATTTTGCACACAGAAAATTATGATGGACTTTTTTATTACTACCGTTACTATAACTTATAACACCAAGAAAAATAGTACATCCGCTCAGATTCGTGTCTGAAATTTTTAATAAAGTGTTTCAATCATGGCTTTTGGTATCTCAGTACAATAAACTTGAGTTTCACTCACGGATAAGTAAAGCAAGTAACTGAACTGACAATGCAATACAATGATATTACATCCCCCCTCTGTCTGGAAAGAGGTTGTACATCACAATATTGCTGAAAATACATATAATCACTGCAAGGTAACAATAAACTATGGTTCCACTAATTATAGTCGTTCACTCGTGGCTTTTTTTTCCCCATCCTGATCTTGGTTCTTCGTGTGTTGTAGTATGGTAGCTGTTTGACTCGTGTTCTGGTTCAGGTTTATCTGATATCTCAAGATGCCTGATTAATTAAGCCATCATGGCTCTTTAAAAGCTCTTTGCCCTATGCAGACAATCTTCGTAAGTCTAAATTAAATTAGAAGTTGATGTAAGCCTATGACTTTCTAATTTTGAATTTGAAGTCCAATGAAGTATTAGTGCCCTCGACTTCCTACCTGTCAGATTTGTTTTTTTTTCTTTGGGGGTCAAGGTTGCTAAGGGGTCGTTCACATATAGTGTGGTAGATAGTGGAGATGAGGATGATTTTGGAGGTTTAGTCCGAGTACGAATTGCAATATGCTGGATTAGGTTTCAGGACCCTGAAGATTTCACTTCTTTTTTCAGTTTCAAATTATTACATTTCCATATAATATATTCATATATTTTTAAGTATGGTGGTAAGGATTTTTTTAAAGTTATTTTTTATTTGCATTATCAGAGACGATGTCCCAGCTGTGGGTGCTGCGACACCAAGTGCCACCAAAGATTCCAGTGCCCCTGTGGACATTTATGAAGCCCTGCAAGAGGTTCTTAAGACTGCCCTTATTCATGACGGATTATGCCGTGGTGTAAAGGAAGTTACCAAAGCTCTTGATAAGTAGGTTATATTTATCATTTCTATCGGTACTTTATTGATTAGTGTAAATTGACTGCTATAGAACATTAGCTTTTTTTTTTTTTTTTATAATATATTTATAAAAATAAAGTCAATTTAAGTCTTTTACTCTTTTCAGTTCATGGGTTTTTAGGTTGTTTTTTTTAATATATTTATCATTTCTATCGGTACTTTATTGATTAGTGTAAATTGACTGCTATAGAACATTAGCTTTTTTTTTTTTTTTTTATAATATATTTATAAAAATAAAGTCAATTTAAGTCTTTTACTCTTTTCAGTTCATGGGTTTTTAGGTTGTTTTTTTTAAAGTTCATATCACATAATGGGATACCATAAAAAGGGTAGCTGACTAATAGCCATCAAGTTGTATATTGAAATGTTCAGAAATGAATGGAGATTCCTATTTTATAAGTTGTGCTTGAAAGTAATTGTTTTTTCTTAGATCATGATTGATTTTTATTTTAATTCTTCGGTCCAATATACGAAATCCAAAAAATAAATTAACAAATAAAAATGTTAATGATAATGTTAGTAATTTTTTTATTTTTTTTATTTTGAAACATGCATAGTGTTTTTGAGGTTAAATTTTGACAAGTGACCTTATGCAAAATTGTTCCAATACAAAGTTTACAACCTATTTTTTTAAATTTGAAAGTTTATATTTAATAAAAGTACCTTAAAATATATTATGTCATTCTGTTATAAATTTTTAACAAATTACTTGAATAATTTTGTTTTTACATTATTGAAATTTTAATAGAAAAATGATAAAGCTAGGGCTTACATGACTAAATCATAAATCTGGCATTTTAAAAAAATACTGTACAAAGTCTTTTACGCTTAGGGGATCAACAATTACTTCAATTTGATACAATGTTACATTTCAAACATATACTAGGTACTCCAACTCAAAATTTCAGATACATCTGACATACACAAAGAGCATATCATTGGAAAGAGCTGACTTTAAGCTTTCCATTGACACCAAGATAATCTTTCTATCACTTGTAGAAGAAAAGTTATGAATTTTTTAGTGATTTATTTTTTCCCACTATTTGGCTTTGTATTTAATTTTTAAAACTGTGATCTAATTATTACTCTTTTTGTACTATTTTGGTTGTATCTTGTTGGCTTTTAAAGTTATACTGCTCAAATTTGGAGAACACATTTACAATACAATGTTTAACAAAATTAAACACATGAATTTTGAATTAACTTATTATATTTTTTGAAAAATTTTTTTATAAGCATATAGCATGGATAACGACAATTGTCGAACAAATTTTTTTCTTCAAAAAATGACATAATTATTAAACCAATAAAGCTATCACTATGAAATTTTCAATACAAACAGATAATGTCCATCTAAAAGTAAGGCATATTTAACATAAATAAAATACAGATCAGAAAAATTTATGCAGTAGTAGAAATAATATTTTATGAAAAGCAACTGCGGCCGAGAAATTTTTTACATTTAAATATACAACTTTTAAACTAATAAAGCTAATGCAATCAAATTTTCAGTAAAAATAGATAGTGTCCAACCAAATATAATAGAGTATTAAAATATATCAAAAGCAATTAAAATCATGCTATGCAAAATTTTAAAATGTCATGTAATCTGTCGACATTGTTTCGGCTCCGGAGGTCTAGCAACACTTCATCCTCATCAATTGGTACATTAAAAAAATATGCCTCCATTGTCAATATCAAATTGGGTTGTTTGTTGATCTCCTCCAAGTAAATACATATCAAAATTACAGGGAGTGATTACAATCTGTAACTCTGGAAAATAAAAAATAAAGATTAGGACTATTAATTTATGAATACCGGTACATGTAAATAATGATTCAATATTTTTAAATAGGCTTCACAATGTTCTTTATTATATGTACACTTATAGCTGATAATAACTAGGACTAGGGGATATCTTACTATCTAATTCATTGCTATTTGTATGTCAAAGCACTTTTATCACTTTGACTTTGTTGTTTTATCTCAGTATATGTATTAGTTTTATTGATCCAAAGCCTGCTCTTATATAATAACTATATAGGCCTAAAGTGTAATTATTATTAAAAACCAGTTATTAAAAAGTATATATTTAAAATCAAACTACTAAGTTATAATACAGGAAATATTTATTTAGTTGTTTGAAAAAGGTTTTAAATAATAATAACCACTGTTTACATTAGAGATTTACCACTTCCGGTAGATCGAGGGGGAAAAAATGGCCACGACTTGGCAACCTTGAATTTTTAGTCACACGGTTCAAGCTCTCATAAATTTTGGGGACGATCTATACTCTTTAAAATAAGTGTTTCTGCTTTTAAAATATATAATCTATGCGAACAAGTAATTTCCAAGTCCGAACGCGATTTGAAAAAAAAAATATAGCACAGCAAACTCACTTACCCCACGTCAACTTTCCAATTATTCGTCTCAGCAAGGTCAGATTTCCACTTAATTCATACCCTCGTAACCGGCATGCATCGCAGATTTAAATAAAACCAAGGAGAGTCCTCTATTTTTAGAAATGACGCAAAACAACACTAATCACCAAGATCTACCGAAAACGAAAAGCGCCGGCTGATCACAGCGATCGCCGCTCGGCAGGCCTCGTTTTTCTAACACGGGCGGCGAAAGTATTGGAGTGCCTACATATACCAATACAGTCTGATGCTCTTTCTTTTCGAGACAGTAACTTCACATCATAGAGTCAGGTCCATAAATAAAAATAGTGTTCTAAATTAAGAATAAATATTTCAACAAAGCCACCCAAAAAAGGGTGAGCCCCTCCCCTTTTCTCCCATAGAAAAAAGGCGTATTCCTCCATTAGGAGCGTACAAATGTAAATTCAGTAAATACTATACTGTTCAATTTGCAATAATAATGGATTAACATTTTTTATTTCAGGCGTCAGGCACATTTATGTGTTTTGGCAAACAGTGTTGATGAGCCATTATACACCAAACTGATTGAGGCTTTGTGTGCAGAACATGGTATTAATCTTCTCAAGGTAATCTTCTACTGGTCAAATTTGTTTCCTTGTAGATAAATTATATACATGGCATATTTATTAATGAATTGTTATGGTTTTTGTTAGGTTGACGATGCCAAAAAGTTAGGTGAATGGGCTGGACTATGCAAATTGGATAAGGAGGGCAAGGCAAGAAAGGTCAATGCCTGTGGCGCTGTAGTTGTCAAGGTACGTTTCTGTTTCAATATGAAATGATTGGTGTCAAATTTATTCTAATTACTAAGTTTTCCCGGTATTGCTAGTCACATCAGATTTGTGGTGTTGACTGTTAGTGCGTTATAGGTGATTTAAATAAACATATTTTATTTTAATTTTTCTTTCAGGACTACGGTAAGGACTCACAGGCACTTGACGTCGTTCGAGATTATTTCAAGTCAAAATAAATGCTACCTACAGTTGGGATTTAATAAATGATGGGCCTCTAGCAGGGCCTTAAAGATGTTCATTTGTTTATTTTTTTTATTGTGGTTGTTTCAATTCCTTGTTTTTCTCCACCAACATATGGTAGTGCTGGTGACTATTTTATAGGTGTCATCGCCAGTTTAAACAGTATACTTCTGCTCTTGTATTTAAATTTTAACCCCTGCAATGCCAATCCTATTGTGGCTTCCTGACAATACTAGCACTGGTGTCCTCATTTAAATTGTATATCAATACTCCCGTACGGTACTTAGTATTTTTCAACTGTTGGCGTTGGACATTTTTGCCAGAAATTTTTTTTTTAAAATGTTTTCATAAAACAGCAAATATAAAAAATTGTTATATTATGGTGCTGGCACTGCCCCACTACCACTCATTTTTTTTTCCCAAATACACGGATAGAGCAAAAGAAGAAGTAGCTTGAACCTAAGTTACACTAAAAGAGGGGTCACAGTCATACTCATACATAGGAGTAGGAGGAAACAGCAGCAGAGATAAGTCTTTCTTCTAAGTGTCATTCATCATATCCAACATCTGACTGGGTCTGTAAAGTAATTATGCCTACTGGTACTGAAGTTACAACTAACATGAGCAAAAATGGCTTGTAAGATGGTTATCAATGAGATTTATAAAAATGATATTGCATGTGCGCTCGATATTGATATTAGAAATATGACATTTGATAAAGGATTAATTGGAAAGACTTGTTTTGTAGTAGGGGTTGTTTAGTTCATTGTGATACTTGCATAACTTGTGAAGCACACTCAGCTCACCTCACAGAGTCAAGATTGTCGTAGGACTATGAGTACTGAGACTCGAGATGTTAAATAGCCCTTCCAATTTTGCAGTTAATGAACAATATCCTACGTAAAGGGTCGTCCATGCAGTAGGGGGGGGGGAAATCATACTCATACATTAAAAATAAAGCAGAAATTGGCATCCATTGATGTTTAACTTTCTGGGGGGGGGAGGTATTTGAGACAGAGACGGTTAAAAAATGTCCAAATAGCTTATGGACGTCAACTAACGTATGCCGCTATAGGGAATTTACATAGGAGTATGACGAGTCTATTGTCTTTTTTTTTAACTGAGTGCCGCTGTATCTTTATCCCCTTTGGGCGTCACAAATTTAAACTGGTGACCACACAAACGCGTACAGTAGATTATAATAGTCGACATGTTAATATTAATACCCGGTACACCAATTTGAAAAAACTACAGATTTGCACTGCTCGGTCTAACCGAATTTTATTAAAATTAAAGGATAAACGATCACAAGAAATTTTAAGAAATGCTTTCCTTGTGTATGACATTTTCTTGACTTGAGAATATTTCCCTTCTTCGCTGCATGTGCTCGTCGATGGGATGCTGTATTAATTGAACACACTATAAACTTTGTGAAAAGTCCGCCAACAATACGTTGAAGTGCTCATCATGCTGCTGTTGCGGCGATTGAAACTACCGGGTATATATATATATGTGATCCTCTTGCAAATTTGGATACTAATACCTACCCGGCACAAGATGTACAGCACAGGATCTTTTACTAGTTTTACATGCTGTCTGTGACTTCACGTTTATCTGCTACGGTACCTTTCGGCTGATCTACTAGACGAAGTTAATCTTACTTACACAGCGGTATCTGCTTGACAAAGTGAAGCGCTGTCACTTGACCATTAGCTGCCCACACCTACAACTCCGAAGGTCATTGGGGACACAAACAGATGCGCACATCAACAATAACAAATACGTTTTAGTTTAATTTTTACCGTAGGGGTTTAACAGTTAAGTTGTTTACATTGAATAAATACATATTTGGGGCTCGTCCATTAATTACGTAAACAATTTTTGCCCCCCTCCCTCCCCCTTGTCAACAACTTGGATGACCTCCCTGTTTAATTATGTCAACATTTCATTAACCACCCCCCCCCCTAAAAAAGATGAATATAATATAAATAAATTGATAAATACGTTTTACTTTGTGCTGGTCTATTTTTAATAACACAAAATTGGAGGAAAAACATTTCATTACGGTACCGTACATCTTTAGCTTGTTAATCGACAAGTTAAAAAGTTTTTACGCTTAAACTTAAATTTTATAATACAGAATCAATTAAAAGTTTGTTAAAAACTAAATAACGTTTTTTGTGGTAGTATTAGTATAAATATGATTATTGTCAGTATAGCTGACAATTATGGTATAGTTTCTAGATGCTTTTATGTTCCCATGGAGTAGTCAGGTGTTGCTCTATCGTGGCAATGGTCATCAGGGACACCATTTGGGTAGGGCAGGGAGGCATACCCCCCCCCCCCCACCCCTTT